CAATGCTATATAAATCTAATGAAAGAATGTTGGGAAAAATGTCCAGAAGACCGTCCAACTGCAGAAGAAATTTATAAAAATGTTAGAATTATCTGAATCTGAACAAGTATTAAAAGATGTTTTGAATATACCTGACCCAACATATATTGAATCGAATTATAGAAGTAGATCTTATTGCATCCCTGATCTGTTCAACTCGTGTAAAGACGATTTTTGACCTGTGATCCTTACAGGTTAGCGCAACCTGAGTAATAGCTCTAAAAACACCTACAGATAAATGTCACAGCTGATGCTGAAATCTAGAACTTAGATTCGAAAATATAAGCCCTGCTAAAATCCACATATATTCAATTCTATTTCTAAATCCCAACCCTAAAAAAAAGAGCAGAACAAAACACCACAAAAATTTTATAACAAAATAGGTCCGAATTTCAGCATCAGTCGCGACGATAAATAATGTAAAAGGACTAATTTCTATAATTTCTTGAATGTTAATGTTTTCATCAATAATTTCATTACTATAACCTGATACAATTGTCATTTCAGAGCTACTTTCAAACTTCTCTAATTCAAAGCATCCAAATTCAGAACCTAATTCATCATCACCAAATTCAAAACCTTCACAATGCTTTCTAATTTGGGCCCTTCTATACCTTCTAATTCGGACCTCCCATGCCTTCTAATTCAGAACCTTCCATGCTTTCTAATTTGGATCTTCCATGCTTTCTACATAATTCAGAACTTTTCATACTTTCCAATTATTAGAATGTCACTTGAATTTGTATCATTATGAGGATGTTTATCGAATATCATACAATAGGGTGTCATTTTATGAGAAGAACAATATTGATTGTTCATCACAATAAAAAAATAAAAATAAAATAAAATAAAAAATTAAAAAAATTAAAAAAAAATATTAATAAAAATAAATGAATAGAATAAATAAAAATACTTATATATGGCACTTTTTAAACCAATGCTCTAGTCAGTTCTTCCCGTATTTTCCATCCACAAGGAATGTTATGACAGCTTCTTTAGCTGATTTAGACTGAGCTGGTTCGGCATAAGAGAATCGACTGAAATGGTCCCTTATGTGAAAGGTATACTTATATTCTCCATCAGGAATGGCCGCCATATTGATACGTAGTATCAAACTAATGCAATTTAAATTTTAACTATTTATTAAAGTTAATATAACACACATACTTGAACATGATTTA